CACATTTCAACTTATCAGTTTGCTTCATGACAAAATATTGCGTTGAGCCAGTGAGCTTTAAAAATAAGGAAATAACATCAAATGCTTGTTTGGCTAAACTTTTTAAGTGCTTATAAGTAATGTGTTCTATGAATGTGGTTAAAAAGTGAGTAAAAGTGGTGAATATTAAAAAATGTGTGGTTAAAAAATTGTTGATCTCCGAAAATAGCCAATAGGCGTCATTAGAAGACAATGTACACGTGGACCTTTTTTTTTTTATAGTATTTTTACTGTAAATACAAGTGTTTGGGGAAGAATAAGATAAGAGACACGGGAGAGACGTAGTATGCTCTCTTTTTTTATTCAAAGATTCATGATTTTAAATGATACGAGGATTGTCTATTTATAGTGATCAGGCCATCGTGGCCTTCCTTAGATCCGAGCCACGTGGCTTGATCCGAGACCCTTGATATTACGTCAACTCTACTTCATATTAATTACATTGACAGACTCTTGATAAAGGATCAGCCACCTTACAAATCTAGGCTGACTTCTTTGACACTTAATAAATGGGCACATCGCATCAATCAATTTTGAAGACGTTCCAGTTGAACTTGCCAAGGGCCTTGGATGCTCCAAAAGTTCGGCAATAAGAGGTGAGTAGGGGTAGGACCACTTCGGCTGATCCTAGTGTAACGACCTCGGCATTTAATCGCGACTACTTCAAATGTTGTAGTTCTTGGATAGCTTAGATGATTGCCACGTGTAAATACAGGGCTGCCTCGGGACGACTACATGTTACATCATAGCAGCACGGGGGTCCACATGGGCATTCTGTACGACCAGTAACAGCCATTCTGTAAGACTAGTAACAAAAATAATGTTTGAATAACTTATATAAGTACTTAAAAGCACCAATTATCACAAAAAGAATACTGAGTTGGTCATTTTCTTTTCTGCTCGGCTAAAAGAAGGTATGCTAACAACATGCAGAGTGGAAGAACTACAAAAAAAGACTGATGTTTATAATTTGGGGTTCCGACGCTTGAAATTGAGAGTGGAAGACAGGCTATTAATCTAGAATTAAACTATTTGTACAATGTTAGTTGACAAACATTGTTGACAATTTTGGAGGTGGCAAAATTCGGACCAATGATTTAAAAACAGTTTTTGACAATTTAAAAAATGGATGAATGTAACGATGTCAACAAAGATTGTCATTCATGATTGTACAAATAGCATAATTGATTGATATAAATCACAATGTGAAATACAATGATCATTAAGGGTTGACCAATCAGTTGTCCATAATTGTTGGCATATCAACTGTATTTTTTGTCATATGTTCCAAGGTACTCAGTTTGGTTGATATTAATATGTTTTTGGGTTGAATGCAAGTTAAAGAAATAAAATCAAGTTTCATGCAATTTCATATTACTTGGTGTACATTTGATATTTCTATTCTAAATATTTTCAATTTACAAGAATAATTAAATAATAGAATAAAAAATAAATATTTTCCAAATTAATACAAATTTGCACAGAATTTATTTTCATAGGACGCGTTTATTGAAAATTAGGAACAAAAAAATAAGAATGAAATTAATTCCATGCGAAATAATGTAGGAATTTACTAATGAAAATAGCAATGATAATTTTGTCGATAATTTTTATTGAACTACGTTATCGCTAAAACTATTTGTGAGAGTTGCCATAGAAATTCATAGACAACTTTGATGGATTTTTGTGTGAAGATAAATTCATCGATAATCACTGACGGTTATTTTTTTTTTCTTCAATCAACTGGCATCTATTATGATTTCCTCTGCAAAAAATCACTAAGGAAATACGAAAAGACGCAAAATTAAAGATGTTCATTGGCAATTATCAACACGTAGATTTCTATTTCTAGTGGTGAATTCATGCTCGTAGGTTTCACAATATTCCTTCTCACATTTATGAATTCACAATTAATTTTTAGTACAATTAAAAGCGATGGATATCCTTTTTCAGTGCGTATTTATGGTCTCCGTGATGAGTTAATAGAGATCAGAAGAATTGCATTTTTTTCTTGAGGATTGAATAATGCATAAAAGCATAGAGGCCAAAAAGTTCAAAGGGTAAACATTAGAATGTCATAGTTGTTTTTTTTTGTCGATAGACACAATACACAAATCTGTAGAGACAAGTCAACCTGGGATTCCAATACCAATAAATTATATCCCTTTAATTGACAATTTTCATGTAAAACACAACCAAACAAACACAAAAATAACACTTTTATTTCAATATTTTTCACGTGGAAAATTATACCAATCAAATACAATAAATTGACAATTTTTAGGAAAACAATTTCTAGGCATTCAATTCCCTGAAATTCGTTTTCTTTCTACCCAAATTCAATCTTTGCAATCAAACGGACATTTAATAGTTCAAGCTTTTCAGGAAAAAAAAAATGAAATTCTTGTAATCTCCATTATTTCATTTGGATGCATTATCAATGCCATCTACATCTTCATGTAATTCACTTTTGTAATTCATCACACAAGTGAGACTTGTAATCGAGTTGCAAATGCACTTAGTCGGTCTCACTCTCTCTTGACTGAAATGTGCAATGTGGTAGCATAATTCTATTCTTTCACAACCTCGTATGCCTCTGTTAGGTTTTCCTTCTCCGATAAAGGGAACTCAATAATAAAAATGATTAAATAGTTTGACATGTTAATGCTTTTATTGCATAATAAGTGTAATTCACTCTGTTCACCATAAACACAAAAGAAACAATGAGCAGATGGATTAACAAGATAGAAACGTTACATATATATACACACACAATACATAAAACTAGTTACTAAGATCACTTCAAGAAAATCGAAAGGCGAAGACATGACAGAAAGTGACAGACACCCAAACTTCGCGTGGTTTCAAATAGTGAAGTCCCTTCCGCCCAAAAATTTCCCTCAATATGGGAAAGAAGCATGCATTTGTACTTTGTTATGAAACAAACGGCCTAATTAACGGATCATATGTTAAGAGGAGCCAGTTAACAAGCCAATAGTTAACGGACGGTCTTGTTTCGTCTATTAAGAGTCAATCAATTAATAGACGTCTGATTAACTGATCGAATCTTAATAGACAGTCAATTAGTCAACATCATGTTAAAAGTTGATCATTAACAGATTAATTGTTAACAGATAGTCGATAACGCCATTAACCAACCCTCAATTAATTGGCTGTCTTTTTAGGTCAGTTAACCGACTCTCTTAATTACTAGTCATACTTAGCTAATTTTATTTTTTATTTTGAATTTTGAATTTTGTATTGAGATGCATATATGGAATCACCATGTCGAGCTATTTGTTAAATCGACATCGTTTAGGTATGAACCGAAACCTTAATAGTATTAACTAAAAGCCCCAACTGTATTTTTAAGTTCATATAAAACATTTTCAACTCTATAGAATACGTGTTAAAACAAAGAACATTGTTACATGCATCTGGAATTTGACACTCTGAGTTACCTGCTACTCACATGGGGGTCGGAGCCCCACGCCAATAAATATGTGGGCCTGACCCCCTCACTAACAAATGGATTATTTCTAAACCAAATATACTAGTTTTGATTGATGAAACCAAGTTTTGAAATTCCATATGGGTAGTGCGATTTCAAAGGACACCGATTAGGATAAATCAAAATGATTTAAATTTTTTATCAAAAACTTTAGCAAACAAACCCTGAAATTAAAATTGAACATTGAGATTTTAACTAAAATTTGCAGAGAGTTCAATTTAAAAGGAAAAAAAAAAAAGGTGAAATAAGAAAACAATCAGTGCACATAAAGCCCTTGTTTGATTTATTATTTGGGGAAAAATAGAATTTTGAATAGTAATTTTTAGAAAAATTTGTGGTTGAAAAGTTGAAAAAATTGACTTTACATACAGAATATTTTAGGATACCGTCATTTACATCCACAGTTTTTATATATTCATCCCACTTTATATACGTCACTATTAAAATTTTAAAAATTACTATTTTCATCCACATCAAAATTCAATATTGTTCTTATTAAATTCATTTATTAAATATTATAGATTCACGCGAATTTTATATATTCATCTGACTCTATATACATCTCTAATTCAATTTCAAAAATTTTAAAAATCACTATATTCATTCAATCACTATCTAACATATAATCTGGTTCTTTTTTTTTTTTTCTATATTATTATGTCGGTGCTTTAATATTTAGTTGCAAATGTTAGTGAATCTCTTTTCTTAAGTTTATTGGATTCTCCCAAGAGTGCATTGTTCACGCAACCAAATAAATTACTCCTCCAATCATGTGTTAATTAATTATTTTTTTGGCTTATAAACTAATAATTATTTTGTCTGTTCATATTTTTTGTTGGTAATTTTAAGTTTGAATTAGGATACAATTACTCTTTGCTACAAGGTTAAAAAATGTTATCTAGATACTAACTAGCATTAAGAGAAAGGAAAAGCAAACTTTCGCGTCTACTTCTCAATGTTTTAAATTTTTTTGTTTTCTAAAACATAATAAAATATTTAAAATAACCCAAATACAAATCAAGAATAATTCAAATACTAATTCATCAAATTCATAATAAAACGTAATCCTTAATTTTCAAATTCTTGTTCATATATTGCTATGTCTCTATGTTTTTCCTCCAATGGTAATCCATTGTTATTTTAATTTCAGTTGAAAAGAATATTTTATGATTATTAGGGTTTTATGATTTAAGTTGAAGATGATATTTTATGATTATAAGGATCTTAGTTAAACAAAATTCTAAAAGAATATGAGAAGGTTCAAAAGAATTTATGAAAATAAATATTAGTTGATGAATTTAGAACAATATATTTTTATTTAATTTTATATATGTATATTTAATTAAATTTACATAAGATTAAAAAATATAACATAATTAACTTTTTAAAAGTGAATATGTGTGTGTGTGTATAATCTCCTAAACACCTGTACTTAAGCCAAATTGGTAACATGACCCATGTCACCGGTACTTAACATAAGTTAAGCACCAGCAGCACTTGGAAGATCATTCCTATATATAGCAACATTCACCCATATTTTATTATTGTGTGAATGTGTGATTGAAAATGAGTAACTAAAAAAATGGATAAATAGCAAAAAACGTCTGTATTGTTTGCATTTATTGCTAAAATAGTCCATATCTTTTCAAATTTGGCATTTGTACCCTCATTTCAAACATTTATTATGAAAGTGGTCCTTTCCATCACATTTCGTTAATTCTACCATTAAATAAATGCATGAATTCATTCACGTTTTTTCTAAAAAGGGTAAATTAGTCAAGTCCCTATATATTTTTCCCCTCTAAAAGTTTTTGGTGAATATCATCCTTATGGTTTGATAAAATTTACAAGTTTATACTCCATCTCGAAACGTTGTCGACAAATATCATACCTAACCGTTTAACCATTTAGCACAAATAACAATTAAGCAAATCTCAAAGCATGTAAATAAACATACAAATATATTTTTTTTATAAAATTTCACTAACTAATGTAATTCAACTATGAAAATCTGTTAAAAAATATAGAGAACTTTTAAAGATAGATAACGTTATTCACTTCAATATGTTCAATGATGAAGCCTAACATTTTTTATATAAAAACTATATTGAATAAAATATATATAAAAAAAGAAGAAGATAAAAATAGGCACATCCAATTTGACAACCTAAACTGTGGATTTTTGTCTTACAATTTTATTTTTTTTTAATCCAAATTTGAAATAGGATAAGAGGTTAAAATTGTATTTGAAACAAAAAATACCTTTTCCAATGTCATCGAACACCATCATGGAGTAGGCTGTATAAAATAAATTATATATCCAGATGGAAAAGTACAAAATAAGTCAACACGAACAAAAAGGGAATTTCAAATGATAAAATGTATGCTGTGATCGTTGGTTGGGTAGCAAGCCTCATCATGGAGTGGGTTGCCAGAGTAACATTGATTTATGAAAACCACTATCCATTTCTAAAATTGAAAATAAAACTTATCGACATCGACATTGCAATTGCAGATGTTGGGATGATAGAGGGAAGATGGTAGTGTAATGGGTTCGATGGACTGCTTCTTCCTTTTGGGAGATTTTGGAAAAGTGATACGCATTTTTATAAATAAAGAAAAAATGAGTTTTCGTAACGTTCCCGTGTTTATGCTTAATGAAAAAAAAAATTGGGGCGTTACACTTTTTTTGCTAATTACCCTAGAAAAAATAGTTTGAAAATAACGTTGTTATTTTGGAAAAGTGATGTTTGATGTGGTTTAATTAATTTGGGGATTTTGTTGGCCACGGTATAACTCTATGCAAACTACAAGAACTCCCCCCCCCCCCCCCCAAAAAAAAAAAAAAAAATTATAGTGACTTGACTAATTTACCCCTTTCAAATAATGTAAGTGAATTTCATGTATTTATTTAACGGTGAAATTAACGGAATGTGACGGAAATGACCAATTTTGTAAGAAAAGTTTGAACAAATTTAAAACCATAGGGACTATTTTAGCAATGCATGTAAACGTTAGGGACTTTCGGCGATTCGGGTGTCGGAAAATCGAATTTACTGTCGAGATTCACTCGAAATGAGTTCAGTCTCGAATCCAAGTCGACCATCGGCGTTGAGTTCGCCACTCGAAGCATCCGGGTCGATGATAAAGTAGTTAAGGCTCAGATTTGGGACACTGCCGGCCAAGAACGGTATATATGCACGCATTTTTCTATGGTTTATTTAGTAAAACAAAATGTATGCTTTTTTGAATTGGGTTAATTATTTGGTTTTTAGATCTGGGTAGCTGACTTTAGATGATTTTATTTTATTTTATTTTAATAATTGAGTGAATTTGTAACTGGATTTTTTTATTAGTGAAATGTCACTGCCTTTCTGGGTTTACTTATGGGTCTTTCAGATCTGGTATTTAGATTTAAAATCTCTTTTTTCTTCTTATACTTTTCATTACTGGTTTAGTTGTAAGAGTATTTTGGGGGGAATTAGATCTGTTACTAGTTACAAATGTAGATTTGTTTATCTTTTGAGTTTAAATCTCGTGTCAATTGGTTGTAAAAATCTGCTTTAAAGGTGGACTGATCTATATGAAATTAGTCCAGAGATTTATTTGCTTTGCGTAAATTTCTCTCTTTCATGAGACTCGTGTTTCTAACGGTAAATTTCTCTCTTTTATACGGTTTTGGTCATGAGACTCGTGTTTCTAATGGTTCTTTTCTCTCATATTTGTTGTAATGTGATTAGCTACGGGGTTATAACGAGTTTAAGTTTGCACATTTGGTCAAATAACCAACTGAAGCATGTACGATTACTAATGAAAACGAAATGTAATTCTGGCCAAGTAGAGTTTGCCAGTAACTAATGTTTTTTCTTTTTAAATCATCTGGAAGGATTTAATGCTAGTGAAGTTTTGACGAGAAGAAATAATTAAATCTGGATGTCAATTCAGTCATGTGTGCTATTCCAAACATTCTGCTAGAGAGAAAAAGAACAACTTACGGCTTCAGATATGAAAGCCTACAGTGGTGCAAAAATGAAATTTTAGTAACCGACTTGATAGTTAATATATATAGAAGCGCTTCCAGAAGGCATTGCTTTCTTCACCAATCATAACACCCAGAAAGATGGGCTTCTGCAGATCTAATTCATTACATACCTTGGAAAAGAAACCACGACGGATCTGTGATTATCTCATGGGGGAGGTCACACTTGTACTCAAAAATCTCTCCACCATCTTTGTAAATTCAAAGACATCCCTCTCTTTCTTCCTCGAGCACATGTCTTCTGGTTCTGTGAAGAGCCTTTTGAGCAACTTTATTCGAGCTTACAGAAAAGTACGATTGCGGAGGAAGTCCCTACTCATATATATACATATTTTGAACTAGATCAATTATGTTTTTCCTCCTATGTGCCTTCTCACCGTCATGATATGATTTGTTACCTTGGTGTTTTCTCAAGTTTGCATGACTTGATTTTTCTGTTGTGCTGGAGCACCACCACCAAACTAAGCATTCTCATTAAATTTGTTGGATTGTCTTTTGCCACTTCTTTCTGTCCATTTCTAGATCCGTGGTGACATCTAAAGCAACTAGATCCTTAGCAAATAGCAACTACAACTAGTTGCGTCAGTTTTGGCTTATCCTTGCCTCTCAACTTGTTTTACTAGATCGCATCACTCTTATGTCAGTTGTGTCTATGCATATTTTAATTTTTGAGGTCTACAAAATTATCGTACATTTGCATATTAACTTTCTACTTAAACTAATTGTGAATCTTTGTCTTGCTCTCAAGATATATAATAAAACTTTCGACTCACATCTTTTGTACTGTTTGCATCTTGGTTCTTGCGTAGTTGATATTTTATAGCAATTTACCTTACCTAGTTAATTTTCATAAACGTCTTTTAAGTGCTTCTATGCTGCTTCATTATGCCCTGGTGTGTCAATTCTCATGGGAATTTTTTCTTTTGCTGAAGATATCGTGCAATCACAAGTGCCTACTATCGAGGAGCTGTTGGTGCATTGCTTGTATATGATGTCACTCGTCATGTTACATTTGAAAATGTTGAGAGATGGTTGAGGGAACTCAGGGATCATACAGATTCTAACATTGTTATCATGCTTGTTGGAAATAAGGCAGACTTGCGTCACTTGCGCGCTGTTCAAACTGAAGATGCAAAGGCATTTGCTGAAAAAGAACATGCATTTTTCATGGAAACCTCTGCTTTGGAGTCTATGAACGTAGAAAATGCCTTTACAGAGGTGCTTACTCAGATACATCAAGTTGTCAGCAGGAAAGCTCTTGAGGCTAGTGATGATCCAGCTGCCTTACCTAAAGGGCAGACCATTAATGTCAGCTCTAAGGATGATGTTTCAGCTGTAAAGACAGGTGGTTGCTGCTCTGCATAGTGGAGACCAAAGAGTGAGAAGCAGATGCAGTTGTGGGGGTATCGTCCATGTTTACATTAACAGCACAGTTCATTTCGCCATTAGTTTTAGTTCATTGGCATCCAAAAATTTGTCCAACTCGAGCCAACTCTCTAGAGTAAGAGTCTTAGTTAAATGCTTGTATTTTTTTTAAATTTTTTTTTGGTTTTAATTATTTTCCTTTGCGATGGTGCACTATTGTATTCTTTCCCATAGGAGTACTTTACTTGAGATTATATTCGATTGCTGAGGTCGAATTTAGGAATGTAACTGTCATCTGATTGCTTAATTTCTTGCTGCTCTTGATGTTGTTGTGTTATTTTATTTGAAATTGATAAACTGGTCATCATTTTTAGTTTTTGGTAGTATAATATAAAAACATTATGCAATATTTTCAAATGAAAATGTTCTTAGATTTTTAATTGGTCAGCCATGAAGAGATGTCGATCATGCCTCAGGATTGGGGTGGTCCGCCCTCAACCCAATTTGTAAAAGGGTTAATTAAGCCAGCTAAAGTAATAATAATAGTAATAACATTTTTTTTTTGGGTATAACACTTCATTTCCATCTCCTTTTATCGTTAATAGCAACCAACTGTACTTGTTTTGCCTGCGCCGTCTCTTTTCTTACACCATTATTCTCTCTTTTTCTTGTGCTTGTAAAAGTTGAACCACACGTTCTTAACTACTATTCATATATTATCCAAACATTTCTTGGGACACAACTTCTTTATTTCTATCTTGGTAATATACGCAGATTCGATACAAGAAAAATAAATGATTGAATTTCGCTCATTTTTCCCCATGTGCTGCTGCTAATTGAATTTTGTGTTTTCTTATAGTTAGATGATCCACAGTGGCTTTTTGCCCTAAGAATTTCTTCATTGCCTGCATAATTCACGAGTATATAGGTAAGAACATTTTACAGCGAGGGTTCTTGATTAATTTTTTCAAGTATAGGTTGTTGAGTTTTATATACCCTTATTGCCTGTGCATGGAGTGGTTTACTTATCAAATCCCTCGTTAATTTTCTTGTTTTTGATTCTAGAATCTTGTAATTGGGCACATGTGCTCAAGTGTTTGTGTTTTGATCCTTACTTTAAATTGAAGTATCCCATGTAACTCTTGGATCTTGCTTAGTTGATTTCTACCTCCTTGGCAACGTATTTGATTGGGGTGACGTTATAATAACATACAATTTTTTTTTTAATCAAGGATTAACTTAGTGTGAGTACAATTTTTAAAAAAAATTACACACTTGTATCAAGATTGACACCGTGTATTAAAATTATCGTAAAAAGATTACGTATGCTAAAAAATTATACACAATATATAAAATTTATTGTCATTTTTCTTTAAACATTAGCTTATGTTAAAATTTTACAATATTTAACAAAAATCATATTATTCAATTACAGTTTTTCCATTTGTACAAAAATGGTTTCACAGAAGTAATACAGAACACTCATATGAGGGTGCGTCTTACGTGAATAAAATAGTGCAGAATAAAAATCACCCCCTATCTGCTATGTGTGTTCAGAAGGGGTTCTGTCTTTGGTACATTCTTTCAATTAACCCTCCTCATTTTTTTTCCCTGTAAAATTGCCCACTGTAAAATCCTTGGACCAGACATTGCTTGTTGTAACTGCATGGCCTGTACCGGGTCCATTATAGGCTTGTACCACCGTCGCCTTAATTTCATCTTTGACAGATGTGGCATGTTTGATATAATGAATTAAAAACCCTGAAATATCGTATCAATAAACATAGCCTGTAATAACAAATTTTCAAAGAATTTTCATAACTTTGAGATACAAATTTTCCTGTACCAATTAACGTAGGATCTCTATAAACAAAATGTCACATGTCGAATTACATATTTATGTGCCTAGAAAAGGAATCACAAACTTTCAATAATTAAGGAATCTTTTCCTTGCTCTTCTTGTTGTCTTAAAGCACCTTTTCACGCTCTGGAGGAGTTGCTGATAGTAACCACTTGCAAAACTCAACTTCTTCCATACGACCATACCAATCGACTGAGCGCGGAGGCTATACAGGCTTCTTTTCTGTCGACTGGCTGAAGCAACAAGTTTCAAATTCTCCTTTTCTCCTTCCACATCTAATCTTCTTGTCCACATTGTAGGGTGGTATGGCTGAGTCATCACAGCGTCCTTCAAATCCTTGCTTAGTTTCCCCTTTTCCCGGTTCCCAGCTACAAAGTTGAGAATATCCTCATTGCCATGAGCATATACAATACCTGAAAACCCACTTGGCTCCCTCAAATTTTGAGGTCAATTCAATTCACCACCTACAAGTTTTAATGGCATTGTATTAGACTTATTATAACAAGACAAATAAGTACACACACCAAGATCTGCAAGAATTGGTTCGCCTGCAGTCTCTCTATCATCATCCACCCGAAAACTTACTCAATGATCTCCTTTGAACTCCTTATAATCCTGGAAACAGAGCAGACAAATCGAACAGGGTGACATAAAGAACAACATATGATGATAAGAAGAATTAAGCTTCTGAACCTCGACCCCTTCAAAGTATCGTTTTTCCATTTTCCTGTCTTGTGCCTGCAAATCCTGTGCAGGATTCCAGTTTGGATAAAAAATTACAACTATTCTACAAGAAATAATGGATAACGTCTTGATAATTCCAGAAGATCAATATCAAGCAGCAAAAGTGAAGCGCCAATGCTGGTAATTTTTATCCCCTAAAAACCATCTCGTGATTTTAAGACGAACTGAAGCAAGAAAGATTTCTAAAATTGTCTCACGATTTATGGAATTTACAATTACAGAAAACCAGTAACAGAGTGTATTTTGTAAATTTTCATATTCAATTATCAATAGTTTACAATCAAAAGGAGTAAATGTCACATGTAAATCTGAGACCAAACATTTTTCCACTCATACATGAAATATGTTATGTACATTTACACGAAAAAAATGATTTTCTTAGGGATTGATCTAGCATATATATGCTACAAGTTCATACAATTCTATACTCGTCGGCCTATGGAATTTTCTGATATGTACAGATAGAGATTTTCTGATGGAAATTAGCCTCACTATTCTATGCTGCTGGCCATTCTCCTTAATCCTCTCATATGTACAGAGCAATAATTTCTGTTGGAATTGCCTCACTCTCCATTCTATACTCGTCAATCTCTGGTGTCTCTCGTATATACAAAGAGCTGTTTTCCATTGGAAGTGGACCTCACTCGCCTATATGGATGTGTCATCTAATCTTCCTGGAATTCATCGGCTGCTGGATTTCTTCCAAACTAATTGCCAGCAAAAGTCAAAACACAGTTAGAGATTACTATGTATTTTACTTGGTCATTCTACAGATACATAAATGTAAGGTGGAGCGCTCTCTGCTCTTCGCAATCAATAAATTTTACCACGTCAACATAAGCAACTTTTAATATGGGGATCATCGCGTTTACAAACATAGCATGCATGTTCAAGTAGTCATCCTTCGGATGGGTGAAATTGAATCTCAATCTGATGAACTTGTAAGCAGGTTCAAGAAGGAAAACAGCCCCAAAGTTTTGAAGACTTGACTGAACATTAGCCAGTGGATCGTATTCCAGGGAAACTATTAAAATGATGGACATCAAATTATTTATAATTTATATTTATATATACACACAAACACAAGCATGCATAAATCTGTAAGCAGATGTGTATAAATCGTGAGAGTTGCCCCTTCCTGTGCAATTAACTCACAGTTTTTTGAGATCCAGCTGCCCGTCAATCATGAATATTCTCTACAGCTCGCGTTCTCTTTGCAGATAGTTTTTGAATGAATTCCTTCACATGATTATAGATGCTGCCACGAAATGTATTTAACAAAAGTACAGTTAGACTGGCTACCTGACTTCCGAATGACAATACACGAATTAGGGAAACTGGAAGTTATCATCCAATGGTGCTTAAGATTGCAGTTCAGCTTTAACACATTGAAAATGAAACTGCAGTTCAACTTTAGAAACATTTAATCATAAAAGTGCAATTCAGCTAACTGATTCAACTAGTTTCAAGAACACCTCAAACACCAAACACATCTCCAAGCAACTGGTTAACACACATTATTGTATAATATTCCCTAGCTGAGTTACAGTTTAAGGGGTACACTTTTTCCTTTGCTGATTGTAGATGAATGTACAGTTTTTTCTCCCAGTGATCTAAAGATGAGGGTGAATATAACTTGTATATAACACAGATGGAATTAAACATGCACCTGGGTATCAATATGCATATTGGTATATCCCCCCAAATCTCTCCAAATATATGTTTCTCAGGATTTGTTAACAAAACTTAAAGTGGAGGAGAGATAACAATCTTCATTACATTCTTAATTCCTAATGCAAAGTAGTGTCTCAAATAACATGAAGCCATAAATTCTACTCATGTTAAAATAGAGACATTCTAATTCACATAAATTTCTGGAGGACAGAGCTACTGCTTGAACGCTGCTCCATGGTGGTCCATACAGTGATAATAACAAATCTTATCTTTGAAGAGAGAGAATCAGTGGAGGTATGGTAGTGTAGAAGGTTGATATGGGGGCAGCCAAGTTGCTAACAGTGTGTGTGTGTGTGAGAGAGAGAGACAGAGAGTGATGTAACTATATGGCATTTTAATTGGTGGAGAATGATTTAGCAGAAAAAATAAAATATAGAGAATAATTCAGAGGTTGTGAAAAGTATCGGTCAAGCCTAAAGATCTACGAGGATGACAACTCTTTCGATGGGACAAATCAGACAATTTAGTTCTTTATGATAGAGAGAGGAAGGAATAATGAATGACAGAACCTTGCTGTTACGTATAAATTATAATATGTTCGAATTCCATAGGTTATGTTTCGTAATGATTTTGGAGTCCATTAGATTCGATAAATACCTTGCAAGGACTAGAAGTCCAAACATATCTATCCATCTACTTCATTTCTTGTAGTCTTATATTCAGTATGTTTATATTAATCCTATTATTAACCTCCCTAATGGTTTCAATATATTCGGTGACCTTCATTAGATGTCATACTCATCTTTTTCCATAGGTTTTAACTGGCATGCATCAACTAGCCAAAAAAAAAAATAAATAAATAAATAAATAATAATAATAATAATTATTATATCTGAATGAATCAGCTCTTCAACGGATGCATCTTCAGGAAATGGAATCAACCAGTTGACTGGACCATAAATTGAAGACGTTAATTTAATACAGAACAATCAATCGATTAAACTAATCAACCAAATACCAGACATTTAAAGAAGAAATCAAGAACACTTTAATCATACCTTAGACGGTGTCTGTTGCAGGCAACAAAGAAGGCTACTAAACCATTAAGAATGCTTCGGAGTGCACGGAAAACCTGATAGAATAGAATCCAGGTATAAGAACATACATTAAACTCTTGTTAGGAAAAAAATTTCATAACAAGATTACCTGGGAGAAAATATCATTCCAAAGAGAACGCCACATGGAAACCTCATACGAGCTCACTGTTGATTCAACATTTGTCGTGAACTGAAAGGTGTCACTCAAAACCAAATATATATCTCCAATCAAATCGTACATGCATCTACATACGAAAGCCACTAGGTTACACAATCCAAGCCCAAATCGCATTGGAGCATAGAGTATTTCCACCAGAATCCAGAATATAGGGAACATTAAGGATGTCACTGCACACCAACATAATGTGGGAAAGGAAACACAATATCAAAAGATCTTATTAATCCAATAGAGTAATAAGAGAAACTATAGCATGCATTCTATAAACCTGACTGTTAACTCACCAACATTCCACATAAATGACATGATATACCAAAGTGGCAGCAGTAGAATCTCAACAAGCTCCCCTACTAGAGTGCAAGAGGACTCAACCATCATCCAAATTACTGTAAAGAAACCTTCCAAAAATTGTATACACATATTCCAAAAAGGAAGAAAGAAATCCAAGAACTCCACAAAAAGCCCTGCCATTGGTTGGGTTAAGATTGAAAGAAATGACCTAATAGGTCGTGTGATCATGATAAACCACTTAAAGGCTTTTTGAAAATTTTGAAGAAATAACATAGTCCCCAAGTACTCAATTCTTGAAATCATTTCCCAACTTTCAATCCAATCAAAAAGGGGTCCAAACAAATGAGATGCAGTTGCTGTTAGAACAGGTATGTTTTTATACAAGTCATAAAATCCAATAAGGACAGTGACAATAGAAATAATCACATATAAAGCTCTTGCCAAAGGGCACATCCATGGACGGTAAATATGGCAAAATCCTGGGTAAGATTGAAGGAAGATAACCCAAGACGGAAGACCAGACTCAAGTAAAGTAAGTAGCCGCAAATCAGACATAATAATTTCTTTTAATTTGAAAGGAAGATTCGGGTCACTGAACCGAAACGAAATCAAAACATCTCTGTAATGGGTAGCTTTAACTAAGTTCACACAGTCACTTGCGTGAGAGGCCTGAGAATTTATTGGCAATGCAGTAGTTTCCGGGTCTGCTTCTTCAGAATAAGTGTCACCTTCGACATCACCATTGACGGACATTCTCCTTCTCTTATAAGGGCCATGAGGAGGAGGAGGTGTATGTAGTCTGCTTGTTCCATTTTCTATGGTTGCTGGATATACTCTGAAACTGCTACTAAGACAGCAAGGATATTCACTCCCAGCCAACAAATCATCACAAATAATACTGTCACCCTCAATATTGCCAGTCCTCGGAAAATTTTCTTGAGCATCATGGAAACCTTCACCTGGGAAATAAAACTCAGTCTGGGTCACTGGCTCTTGATAGACAATTAAATTGAACGTCGTATAGAATCGCCCCATAGAATAGAATAGAGGAAGAGCTGTTTCATATGTAAAATGACTACAAGAAAATAAAGTTCTTGATCTAAATTATGCTACAGGAAGCATAACCTGCACAACAGTTTTCCCTAGGAGACCTATGGCACATTAGCTAACAGTTGACAGAATACACGTGTAACCTGACAAATATTTGCTTCTAGAGTACGTTAAAATACATGCACGAGATGTTTTAGAAAATAGCTATTGGAATTGGTAAGGTATCAGGCTTAACGAGTCAGTCATCTTACTCATGACCAGAGGAAATAAAAGATAACACAGCTATATTTTACTGTCTCTTTTAAATTTGAATTGTATCGTTTACTTCTTAAGATGTTCCTTAATAATCCATAATTACAATCGTTCCTAATCCACTTCCACCTATTTTCTCTCACTAAAACACGAGGCCCAAATAAACACATTTGGAGGGTAAAGAAGGAAATAATTAATTCATCACCTAAGAATCTGATCCAAGAAATTCAAAATGAAACCAAGAAAAAAACAAAGTAAAAGAGTTGGCATGCACATAAGTGCACACAAAAAGAACTTACTGCATGACAACAGTAAGTTATTAGAGAGAGAAATTGCATTTTGATGAAAATTTATTAGAGGAAATACGAAGCAAGAAGATTGTGTGTTAGTTATCTTGCAGATTTTGCAGGCCATCAGAACATCAGACAGAGAACCTTATGGCTATAAAGCCAGTGTAATTTCCCATCCATCATGAAGGAAATCCCAAGTCCACCAATGAGTTGTAGTGAATCTATTCCCAAGGGTGAACCAGGCCCATCCAATTTCATTTCAATTAAATCGTTGAAATGCCCTTATACCGTTCAGAAATCAAAGATTTTTTGTGGAAGTTAAAATGGAGAAAAAAAATGTATTCAAAATAATTAAGAATATCACCATTTTCAGAAGGAACAAAGAAGACAAGCAAAAACTTCTTCGTGCAAATAAATTTTTATGCAAACAACTTTGCGCAAATACCTTTATATCAACTTAAATTCCTAATGATCTTGCCTGACTAAATACCACTTCATTTCCTGAATATTTCAAACAACTTAATGAAAACCAAGACAATAAAAATATCCAAGTTATCCAGCCATTGTTTGGCCCCCATTTTTTGAAACTAATTTTTCCTCAAACTCCTTTTCAACCACACATTTCATCAACTTATATCAAAATCTACTAAAATTATTATTTTTAGCAAAACCAAATAGGGGGACAATATCATTTTTGTCAAAATCAAGGCACATCTCATGCAGTGTTTGGGTAATTAAGTGTGGGAGGAATTCTTTTCTGTGTTCTCTTAATTCCTATCCAAAGTCAAACCAAAAGTTTAGTTGGAAATGAAAAAAGCAAAACTAACACAAAAGATCATCCTCGTGGGACATGGATTCTCCTAAACCTGTTTTGTTTTCTGAAGCTTGGATGTATGTGCATCTAATATTCAGGTTAAACAAGTAATTATGGGCATGGGCTCTGAGATTCCAGTCACCAAAGGAAATCTGAATGTCTGAGAGTATAAACACTGTGCCTGTATATAAGATGCTTACAACACATTCAGTACATCTTACCTTTTTTTGAATTAGATTTACCATTATGTTTACATGAGTGATGAACAGCCTAAAAAATATGAGCATGCTTGAAGCATGTACAATGTGTCTTAATGATCGTAGTGTACTGGTAATAGCTACAGCATTCACAAGGCAAAGCACAAAATTTTAGAGCTCGTGAATGCAGCGCCCAACATTAACCATTGCTCCCATCACTTCGTCTAAGTTCTATTAATGAATATGAAAAATATAATTGTTAGAAATCATCAGGCTACAGTTTAAGACTATAGACTACAAGAGTCAGTTATTAGTGTATTGTCCTAAATTAAGCTCGTCAGAGTTTATTTAGAAACATAAAATTAAGATTGTTCAAAATTTTCAGAATTTCAATAAAACTACAGATCAAAGTTGCTTCTTATGCATTGCCTTATAGTTGCAGACAGGAAGCAACTGTACCTCCTTTTTTTTCACCTTCTCTGCTGTTTACAGATAGATTCAAACAAGAAAATACAGATTTATGTACACATACAAAAATATTTGCCGGAAACAAATAGATGCAGATAGTTCAATTTTCTTTGTTACAAGTAGTTTGAATTACCAGAATATGTATGTCGACATTTCATGTCAGTTCAATCAAACATGCCTATATTCAGGTACTGATACCATTTGACAATGAGTACTTTTGTCCTTCCATGCCAAATCGTATTTGAGAAAGAATACCTGTTGTAGCATCTAAATAATCTTTCAATAGAATCTGCTCATTGCATGTCCCGGGGAACCATGAAGATAAGCATCTAGCAGACTGTGCTACACTATCAAACTCCCATCTTCTCATATATTTAGCCTCTGTTACAAGTGATGTATCATTCTGCACATGGCATAAGCAAATAGAGACAAAATTTGAGCACCGGAGTGCAAAGTACAACACAAATGGATCGCTATGATATTACCTACCTGAAGCTCGTTGAAATAGTTGATACCACGTACATCACTCCATGCAACCTCAAAAACTATAAAGCCATACAAGGTTCTATGCAACTTGCTATTAGTGATCAAAGAATTCCTGAGCTTCTTCACAGGTAGCAAAGCCCTCTTCCTGGATGATGTCGCAACATCAAGCAATAAGAACCACTTTTTCAACTGACTTGTGTTTGATTCAGAAGTAGCCTGTAGCTCATAAAGTTCTCCTGTCTCCCTCCTCTCCTTCTTCACTTTAGTATTTGCAAAGGGGGACAACCTGGACTGTTGTATAATCAGGAAAGTTAATCTTATAGCATGTAGTTGTGGTTAACTTAAAAGCACTATAATTCATTCCAAGGAGAGAAATGTCTTTCAGCAACCTTAGTGACCATCAATTGCCAAAGATGTGTAGGCCGTGAAACAAGATCTTTCAACCATGGCTGATTATCGACCAAGATATAGAATTTTTTGCTTTCGGGGGCCAGAAATAGGCCAAGATGTGAAAGGTAAGACTGCAAATCCCTGCATGACATATTGCTATAATATAAGTATTGATACTAAAAATATAGCATAGAATAATCAATCCCACGAGCTTGAAGTTCAGAAAATGATATATAAATACTCTATATCAATCAAAAATATGGAAAATATGATTGCATTTTCGCAACTCATTTGTCATTGATGTCAACACCTACGGTTCTACATATAAAAAATTATTTATAGTTAATTCCATTTTGAATTCTCTTTATAAATAAAAAACATGAGAAACTGTTAGTTCCACATCAATTTTAAACAATTAACACGTCTTTCCCGAACACACAGAATAAGGCCTAGAATATGGAAAATTAATTCAAATTCAAGTGAAAACTATTCCAATTCCAATTTTGGCGACCCAATTCCCATCAAAAAATTTATTTATCAAACAATCACCTTAATACCAACAAAATTGAATATTGTTCATCAAATTATAAATCAGTTTTGCAAAAAGGCAAACAACTCTTACATTCACAGGCATTTGATTAATTAGAAAACCAAAGAACATTACATCTAAGTATTGAATCAACTGCAAATTCATTCATAAACACATATAGGTCGAGAAATTGAGAGAGGCAGAGAACAATTACCCAATCTGCAAACTTGTTATGGGAAAAACGAAGCGATCATTTTCATTGTTCCCCATCAAATCAATGGCAAAATTCACATTTTAATTCTCTCAAGTTTAACCCATTAACTACTGCACTGCTCCATCAAATCAAATAAATAGCATTTCAACAATAATAAAAATTGATGAAGCCGAACTGAATTAATTAAATAAAATAAAAATTAAGAAAAGACACTGTCCGAAAAATACTCACGGCATCGGCATATATGACTTGGGGATGCAGAAGTCAGTGAGAAACGGACAAACGCCAAAAGCAGAAAGAGGCGTGGAAAATTTTTATTGAAAGTCGTCCAACTTTGAGAAAAATCTCAACTGAGTCACTCAACCTTAAGAAGCTTCGATCAAGTTACTAAACAGTTAGTTGTAATTTTCAGTGTTGGTCCTCAACTTATGAATTTTTCGCTAGTTCATACCAAATAACTTAATGGGGACATTTGAGTCACAGACTTTAATCAATCAGTCTCAATAACTTTCTATCAACTTTTAAGTTGACATGTCAAACTCACATACCTACCATTTGTGCTTCTTTGATTTAAATTATAATTCTATTTAAAAGTCAAAGATTAAAGTTGAACTTTAATTTAAACTACACATTTTGTAAATATCACAACTATCATCCATTTATTCACAACTCATTTTCTACAACTTATAATTTCTCATTTAAAATAGTTTTCACATTTTAAATCATTTTTCATTTTTCTGAAAGCAAATTAGGGATAATTAATTGGAAGACACGAGTATTAAATTCTTTTTTTACTACATTGAAATGTAACTCTCCGAGTAGTTCAAAGTTTGAAGGATTTTCAATTTGCACCAAGTGCAAGGATTCTGAAAGACATTGTCTTTGGTGTTCGATGTGAGTGTAGCTCTTATAGAAAGGAATAGAGAGACCTTAGATCACCTGGACTCAAATAAATATACACAGAGATTGTAAAAATGAATAAAATAAGGTCGTTACAAGTAGACTCATTCTTTCTTTCGAAGTAGATTACAGTTAAATATATACACGAGAAAACTTGACACTTCGTAGATGAAGACCAACCTGGCCATAAAATCCGACATAAGATCTGGAAAGGTAAAAAAGGCTTCAGCCAAGAAAGTCAACAAAACCATTGCTCGCTAACTTAACAAAGGACAGGAAAAGCCGCATATTGGTTCCTACTCTGGAACTTGAACTGCGAATCATGTGCCTAGAAAACTAAAGTATTTGTTTTTCGATTGATCAAATTGGCAACATCCACCCGCCATCGCCAAGGAACCAGCAATAGATGAATCTCCACCTCTAGAATCCATTTCTAGTAAAACTACAATACTCGTCTTTCAGATGAAAATTCATCTTAGATCTGATTCTCCATTTAACTCATGAGGCCCTTAGGTAACAAATCCAGTTTCATCTCACCTGTCCTTGCACCTCTTCGCTTCTCAATAGAAACCGAGAGAGTTCAAGAAAAAACTGACAATTAAATCAAAGATCTTAAAGAATTTATGATACATCAAAATATGTTAATTCTTTTTTTCTTTTTTAAATTTAGGTCTATAGGTTTAACAACTTGTGTGCATAGTTAACACACAATGTTCATATTTAGGGAATTGGATCTCTAAGTGGTGCATTCTGCAGACAACAAAGACGAGCAATCATCTCATAGTCTAGGCATACATATATCGATAGATAACAAAATTATCTGTCAACTGAGAAAAGCCGCTGAATATTTGGCAATCACAGTATTTTCTTGGTACTGTACAGTTCCACATCACAACAGCAAGACGGGGGCTAATATGAAAGAAATTGGGTACCCCATAATGCATTAAGATCTCTCTGTCATCTCTTTCTGCGCTTCGGCTCCACCTATCAATGAATCCAATACAAGGTCTTGTTAAGACAATACTAAAATATGCAAGCATTAAAAGACAATACAGTAGTTTTACTTGGGAATTTTCCCACAATTATTTCACACGTTATCTTCAATATATCAAAGCCCTCTAGAAAAAAGACACTGTACATGGCGACTAAAAGCAAAGGTGAGTTAAGAACCTGATATTTCAAAGATGAAACATCTTCAAAACTTAAAATTCAAGGTTTCCATCTAATATTTCTTTTTCAAAATGATAAGCTAGACCTTTATATAAGTTGAGGAATGGAACAACAGCGTCAAGAATTTTCTCTTAGTTGCCTCAACATTCATACCCTTGGAGATGTTTGAACATATATACTCAACTTTCATCCACATGGAAAAAAGTCAGAAATCTTCCATCAGCTCATGAACGGAAGTTTCATATAATACCATAAAGAAAGGAAATCAATAAATTTCACTAACACAATTTCTGCACAAATGAGTACATAGTTAATACATGCAAATCTATGATAAGATAATTTTGTTGTTAGCAGTTTCACCAAGTCCAACAAGCGATTGTCCGCAAAAGTGAGAGCACTAATTTCAACTCCCCTACAACCAAGGATCAGAACTGCTGCTTGTTTTGACATTTTAGCAACCCAATTCATGTATGCAAGAGAACTTTTTTCAAACTTAATGATCAGTTTACTTGCATATTTCACATCATCAAGAAGTCCAACACATTTTATTCTCTGTCACCTCTTGTCAATTCTGCCAAGCATTCAGCTTAATTGCAAGAATATATAGATGAAAGTTCAATTTAAATGCCTTTTGAGGATGAAGAAAATGTACAAGGATTCGTCAACATAACTTTCTTTCGATCTTGTGGAAATATTTTGATGGCCATTCTGTCTAAAGATTTTGCAGAATTTTATGCCAATTTGATTGTGGGGAAGCGTACTTTAGTTCTATTTTGTTACACTTGCATCCAAGAACCACATTCGAAAATAAAGGACTTTTGATACGTTAGCCTCATGACGAGAATACAAAAGATAAAGAGAAGGTTCTGGCTAATATATAGAGTACAGAGCTTTAAGAAACCGGTAATCATTATCAAAGTGCTATTTGTGGAACGCTACCCTCGTTGTTCATACCCAGTCCAAAGCCTAGCTAAGGAGGATGGTAATGACTGGTACGTTGACATTTATGGGGATAAAATAAAAATAGAAGTTACGTAGGATTTTAAAAATAGAGTTTAATATAAATCATATTTGTCTAAATTAGTTTAGATTAATCTTAATAGTTTGATAAAATTCTAGTTTATTACAAATCCTATTGATTTTTGATTAGTTGCTCTATAATAGGGATTATTCATCGTAACAGGCACCCCTTGAATATATGAACAAATTGATATCCCTTTTTCCTTAATTCCTTCCATTCTTTGATCCCCTTTCTTTTCTTGTTCATTATCTTGTTCGTTGTCAAACTACAACACTCATGCGTCAGACAGCCAACGTGAAACTTCGTCAAATCTGAGATCTACGTGTAGTTTTTATTGATTTAGAAAGAAACCTGTAATAGGATGCCTAGAGAGGTGTTGTCCTAACAAATATATTATCAAGGATGTGTACGTTGGAGCACTCACAAGCAAAGATGTAGTGGCAGCAGTTGAGAATTCCCTAGTATACACTTGCACCAAGATTTTGTCTTAAAATTTTATCTTTTCGCCTTGGTCATGGACTAACTTACAGCACAAATTCAAGATGAAGTTCCTTTGTATTTGTTAATCATTAATGATATAGTTTAGTTGATAACACTAAACAAGTTAGAATTAATACTTGGAATCTAAAGGTTTTAGATTGAATAAAATTAAGATAGAATACATGCAATGCCACTTCAGTAACAGTAAGAATAAGGAATAATAGGGTTATTGTCACCAAAAGCGATTGTTTCAAGTATTTATTTACGATTATTAACAAGTGCAGAGCAATTGAAGAGGCTGTGATGCATAGGATCAAAGTAGATTGGATGAAGTCAAGAAATGCTACAGGAGTTTTGTGTTATAAGATCTCTATGAGGCTGAAAGGCTAGTTCTACAGAACAAATACCTGATTTATGATCCAACTATGATGATGATAAGAGAAAATGTCCATAAGATAACATAAAGGAAATGATGATGCTTCAAGGGACATGTTTATGCTAATGATAATATAAGAAATGATAATATACAGCACAAGTGGAGGTTATCACCATTTGGGACATATTTTATATAGACCTATGCTTATGTTCATAAGACTGCGCAATCTTGGTGGAACATGTTAAGAGGGGGAGGAGTCGACCAAAACTAAAATGACTTCTTGTTGTTGTTAAGGATCTTCTACTATATCTACCAACGATTGACAGGAATGACATTCATGTAGTTTACTCCAAATTTAATTAAAAAAAAAAAAAAAAAATCTTAATTTGTTGTAGAGGTTTTTACTGCAGGTAGGCAAATTCATGATGTAGCTCTAATTGCAGATAGTACGACAACTGATGTGAAGCATAAAGGGTTGGGGGGTGGACTCAAAGGAATTGACGGTGGCATGCAGAAGTGGCCGAACATGTGGTTTAAGCAATTGAAATTTTGAGACGGTATATGACCAGGAGAATTGGAAGGTTTTGAACAAGGTCATGGAAGAAAAAGGGTATGGGAAAGATGGAGAGTGCATCATCAGGCGTTTTGCATTAATAGGCCATCTCAAGACTTCTTCTCTTTCCGGTTATAATAATGGCAAGCCCAAGGATTTTTGAACTGGTATCAGTTTCAAAATAAATATGGAGGAGAAATTGGAAGATGTATCTGTTAACAATCAGAATCCATCCACTTTGTGTCAACAGCAAGGTGCAAAGTGCAAGACTATCCTGTGACTTGTATAGATGTGCCTTTAGGAAGTAATCCAAAAGCTGACTCCTGGAATCCATAGTCGAAAGGATCATATATATAGAGGCACTTTTTCAATCCAAGGGTTGAGTTACCTCCACTCAGTCTTGTCTATAGCATCCCCATGTATTATTTTTCTTCGTTCAATATTGATTGAGGCAAACAGAATCGAATGTGTCATGCAGGATTTTCTTCGGAAGGGCATGGACAAGGATGGGAAGGATAATAGTAGATTGAGCTGGTTACTGACGTTAAAGCTAAGCATGGCTTGGGTATGAATAGTGCCTAAGGACCTCTCCTCGGTGGCAAACCAGTTGAAGCCTACATTTAGTTTTCACCAAAACGTTTGGGATACTGGGATTGCCTACAAAAATGTACTTGCACAAGTTTATCTCCTAATAACATCCTTTTTACTGTATATTGCTGCAACTTAAATAAACCGTGTTTCTATGGTCCAGCTTTTGTTGAACTAATGATTCTTCTAGCTTAAAGATGGCTCTAATACACTTCTTATTAGTAAAGCTCCTGAATTGATGCATAAGCTTTTAAATAACGTAATACGTAGCCATCTAAATGCAGTGACCACCAAGTTTACAAAGAAAGAAAAAAGGTTTCAACCATATAATAGATAAGTTGTTTTCACGTCCAACAGCATCAGAACAGAAAAATGCGCTTTTACCTTGCCCTCGACAGTTGGTGATACAGGGAATGAGTTCAAAGACCGTTTGGCATCATCTTCAGATGAACATTCAGAACACAAGAAATGCTCTAATTTCTTTGCTTCTTCAATGGTCATACCCATGCAAGAAGGATGAAACCTGCAACAGAAACATACGCATTAAAACCTGCTATCAATATCAATGTACACGGGCATATTAAATACAGTTTGGTAACAACGAACTGTAATAAGATAAGTATTTTGAGTTAACCCCTGAAACAAAAATGCAAAATAAGTAGTAGACTATAATTTCTAGTATCAAAATCAACATAAACAAAAGCATTGACATGGACTATTTCACACCCGGGTACATACCCAACACATCAATCTCGGATCCTCAAAATTATATAAAATATAAATTACCACCGAGCCAGAAATATCAAACCAATTTT